TTGCGAGGCGATGTGTATCGGTGCCGCGGTGGCGCACTTCCTGAACTGCCTGCTGGGCGCCTGCGGCAGCCCGGCGCTGTCGGCGGCGGAGGCCCCGGGCGCGGCGCGCGGCGGCGCGCGGGCGGGCCGCGGACGTCGCGCCCGCCGCCACGCGCACGCCGCGCCGCCGCCAGACCCGCACCCGGACTGGCACAACCTCTCGCCCAAATCACTGTTCTCGCAAATCAAACAGGAACTTAAGGTAAACGATACTATTAGTACCACAGTTACTACAAACTACATACCTTACTAATCAATACAAATTGTAAATTATTTGTGTCACGATATTTTTTTAACTTTTGTTGAAGTTTATCATTTATGTTCAACTTATTGTTTTCTCTGCTCCAGTAAGTAGGAACTATAAGTGAAATTAATTTGGCTGCAAAAATTAATGTTTAAATAAACTTAATTTGTTTTATTTTTACAGGCATATTGGGGATATGAACTCAATGCAGACAGCATGGATTCTGTTATAGAAAAACATGGTTTACAGAAAATTTCACTTCTCAGGTAAATTTCTTTCTCCATCATCACATTGATATGTCTTTCATCTTTATGCAATGACAGCAAAATAATTTATGAATATTAAACTTTCAGATCTTTCGCTCTCAAAGTTGGTCTACAGTTGATGCTACGCGAGTACGACTTCGACAGTAAGAACAAGGCGCCTTTCACAGCAAACGATATTATGAACATTTTCCCCGTTGTTAAGCATATCAACCCACGCGTAAGTAGAAACTTTAAATATTTATTTAAACTAGTTTTCTCTGCGATATTGGTCTCGTGAACTTTGTGAACATTTCTGATAACATCCCGAAAAATTGGTATCGTCTTCATTTGAATAAATCTTTGAATTTTTTAGATAATGATTACTCTTAGTCCAATGTTGAGACCAAATATAATTTAATCAACATTTAATACTCAGTACTAATAATTTATTGTTTCCACAGGCATCAGACGCCTACAACTTCTACACGACTGGTCAGAACAAGATTCAAGCAGGCGCAGTATCGGAGGGCCACGAATTAATCGCCGAGGCACTGAATTTATTGAACAACGTGTATGGAGCCATGCACGGCGAGATTGCGCAATGTTTGCGCATGGTTGCGCGACTGTGCTATGTTACCGGGGAACATAGGGACGCCATGGCTTACCAACAGAAAGCTGTGCTCATGTCTGAAAGAGTTAACGGAATCGATCATCCTTATACTATTACTGAATATGTAAGTATTTTTATATGTTTGTGCTAAAAACTACTACGTACATATTATTTACCACCAGTCACGCATAGATGATAATTCAATATTTAAAGTTATTTTAATAACAGATTTAAAGTTTAAATAATCATACCTTAATAATTAAAATTACTTATTATCTTTTCATCTTATTTCATCAAAATCCGTTAAGTGTTTAATCATAAAATTGTAACAAACAAAGTATCTTTTGCGTTTATAGCATTAACTTGATATAGTAGAGGGTTCTATTAATTTCCTGCTTCAACTTCAATCTTCAATGAAATCAACATTTTGGCCTGAATTTAGCGGCTTTAATTATTGTGTGTGTGAACTTGTATGTTTGTAAACGCACCCACGATACAGGAGAAAATCCTAATGTGGGGCAACGTTCTTTTAAATAATAAAAAAAAAATGTTACTTTGCGGGTATTAATGTGATTGTTTTGTTTCCAGTCCCACTTGGCGTTATATTGCTTTGCTAACGGTCAGGTCAGCACAGCGTTGAAGCTGTTGTATCGCGCTCGCTACCTCGCACTACTCGTCTGTGGAGAGAATCATCCGGAGATGGCGTTACTTGATGTGAGTTTGGAACATATTTTTGTTTACAAGGATTCTTTTATTTAGGAAACAATATGAATTGAGTGTATTTTGTTTTCGTTAATACCATTGTAGCTATATTTTCGCGTTGATTGAGATAATTTGTTACGGTTTGATTTTTTGTCAGTTTTACGATGTTTATGTCCAAATCATACTTATATGATATCTACAATATTATACATAAAAGTTCTAAAGCATATTTTATTTTATAAAGGTTTCCTGTAGTAAAGTTACCAAGTGAATAAACATTATAATACATGTTATTTAATGTATACCCAGAGTAATATCGCCCTGATCCTGCACGCGGTGGGCGAGTACGAGCTGTCCCTCCGTTTCGCGGAGCGCGCGCTGGCGGTGACGTGCGCGTCGCACGGCGCGCGCTCGCTGAAGGCGGCCGTCGCGCGACATCTGCTCGCGCGCACGCTCTCCTGTCTCGGGGACTTCCGCGCCGCGCTGCAGCACGAGAAGGAGACGTACTCCATCTATAAACAACAGGTCACTATTCTCTATTACTAAAATACTTCGAAATAAATTTTACAACTTTCAAGTCAGTTCTTGGTGCCAATATGACTAATCTTTGTAGACATGGTAAAAGCGACTGTGGTCGCTTTAAGATTCAACCTTTATAAGTACTGGCGGGTTAAAAGCATGAACTGAAATCTTAAATTACAATAATTTTAAAATCAAAAACAGTCTTATGAAGATTACAGTAACCAAAATAAGTGTGTCAAAGAAATAATATGTTTTTCTATCAAATTGAGTTATGTTGATTGTAAATGTATATTCCTTAGTTGGGTGAGAAGCACGAGAAGACCCGCGAGTCGTCGGAATGCCTGCGGCACCTGACGCAGCAGGCGGTGGTGCTGCAGAAGCGGCTGGCGGAGGCGTACGCGCGCGCGCCGCACGCCGCGCCCGCGCCCCCGCCGCTGCACATCCAGCCGCCCGGCATGGCCTCCGTCATCGACATGCTCAACCTCATCAACGGCATACTCTTCGTGCAGATCAGGTCATTATTTATAATTTTATCAATCTCAGCACATACTGTTTTTAGCATCACTAAAGCTGATGGTAACTTTTTGTCGCTTATGTATCGATCGATTTTACAGCCCTCAAGACATTGAGCAATTCAAAGCGGAAATCGAGAAAAGACAGCTGAAGGAGCTCCCCATCCCCGGCGTACTGGGCGAGCTGGGAACTGAACAGAAGGAACAGAAGAAGGAGACAGACGCGGCGGCGGACAGTTGAAGGGAGGTCGGGCAGGGCTGGCTCGCTCACACATGTTCCACTCGCACTGGACGTTTCACATATACATTGTTACTTTAATATAATTATTGATTGATGATATTGTTCCTTATCTATGAATGTATGCGGTAGTGAATAGTGTGCTAAGGTTTGATGTAGATTTTTTTTGTTAGAAAAATTTTGAGGATATTATTTTGATCAAATAATTAAGTGTTATTTTGATTATTTTGAATGAATTCTCGCGGAGTGCGATAGTTGATGCATGTTGCGTACGTTTCGCTCAAATCACGCAGATCTAGTTTTAATTTTACGCTTCCGTTTGGGATTCACAATTTTATCAACACCCAAAGTAGTGCAATTTCAAGTAGTGATAATAGCAATAAGTTTTGGTTGTGATCCTGAGACCGTGTATGTCGCTATGTTATGGTAACTGGTGCTACTGCCAACTTGTCCTTCATATATATTGTAATGGTTTTATGAATTGTTATTGTCGAGTATTATTTTTTTTAACTAGTACGGGAGTATATTGTTGAAACACCTGTAGCAGTAGAAATTCAGTTATATTGTCATTGAAATGTAACAGGAGTAGAATGCTACCCGCATGCAAATTGATGATAGTTTATTTTATATCAACGGAATGAGTTTCGCTCGATACGAACACTGCCTTTATCGTTACATTGTAGTTTCAGGTTTAGTTGTTAGTGCCATAATATGAATGTAGTGCATGTAAGTTTATGTAATATTTTCGTTAGTCTGTGATATAGCATGTCTATCATCGAGTGACTTGCCTTGTTATGCAATAAAGATATTGTACCTGGCAATAGTTTCGGCTTCCATGTCTGTTTGGTGTGTAAACTAAGATCATTGAACCAACCAGACATAAATTATGAAATGTATTGTAATAGATATATACTTGTGGTCAATATTATGTAATATACGAGCCTTGTGAACGGATCACTTAGCTACGGTGTATTCATGTTATACTTCTATGATATAAATCAACTATTCTTGTAATGGGTATTGATATCTTGTCAGTGACGCCAAATGAACAAATGTTTATGAATGAATGTTTTTTTGGGAAAAAATAATGTATTTTAAGAGTACTTTGCCTTTCAAAATCAACAGTTTGTACGTCATGTCGTCATCCGTTGTTAACTGTGTCGCTACATATCCGAATTAGATTTGTTGTGTTAGCACATCATCCTTCTCACTGTAAGCATCGAAACATAAGCTTTCATAGTCATATAGTTTTGTTTGTACGGAACAAATGTTTATATAGTCGACAGCAACAGAATAGTGTTAGCAACCACTTGATCTGTAGCGTTGTCTTCATGTTGTTATAACCTACTCTAATAATGTAACTTATGGGTTTACATATTTGTGCTTTGAGTCAATTCATGTAGTTTATATATTTCAGGCCATACTTGTGTATGTAAGAAGTATACTGTTACCACTTTATAGTAATAGATTGCATGTTTTTGCGTATCGATAATATCGTATCACGCGTTAGACAAACCATCGCCAGTGTGTGCATATCACTGACATGTGTGTAACAATAATTATATTGTGTGGAATGTGGATTGTTATGTTATGATATAATATTAACTTATCCATATTACTGTTACGACGCGACGGTCCTAATATAGAGCGATTGTCATCGATACGCACATCTTACTGTACTCGTTAGCTAAATATATAAGAATGTTGTTCGATGAAGTACGTGCCTAAGCAAACAATAATCAATCGTTGTTGTTACATTTCTTTAACAATATGATGACTATGTAAATACGGCGCTGTTCGTAGTATGATAATAAAAAATCGTTTTTAAAAAACTTTCTTTTTATTTATTTATCCTTACACACAAGCATAATACATTATGAAATGCTGTAAGATTATAATGACACATTTGATACAAGTGATACAAGTAGTCTAGCTACTTTGACAAGAGGGCAGGTATGGTAAGCTGTAAATAAATACCATATTGTAAACGATTGTACTTATGAATAGTACTTAACAAGTCTACATAACATATTTGTAGACATTGGAGTTATTTATTCAATATGCTGCTTGTTAGCCCTATACATTTATGAAATAGTTTTATCCACTCAAGATACGATTTATACGGAATCACTTTTGAGTATTACACACCAAGTTATTTTATTATTTTTTGTCTATTTACATGTTTTATGAGAATACAATCTCTAACCTACTGTTTACTTCATAAACGAGTATAGGTTTAGCCAAAAGCGCTAAGCAAATAGCGCAAAGTACTGCTCAACAGTTATATTTAGGCAACAGCCTGAGAATCCAAAATCGTCGAAACAACGGTAGCTAGTAAAGCAGGACTTTCGTGTAGATAGTTTTAAAGCTTATAGCTGCACTAAAACAGGTTTGTATTGAAATTTCGTTTTATTTCCTAGCTCGTGGCCTAGGTCGTGGTCTAGCTCGGGGTCTCGGCCTAGGACGTCGACGGCGAGCTCGCGAAGACCGTCCTCGCTCCAACTGCGCCGCTACTAGCTCGCCAAGAGCGCCACGTTCCGCCAACATTGATAGGAATGTGCAGATAAACTCGTCGTAGTTGTGCGTGCGACGACAGTCGTCCACCTGATGGAAAACATTAACAAAAAGTTACTTTGATGAAATTTTAATGACAGTTAATAGATAATGCTTTTGGAGTAATTAAAATGTGTTTGCTATTTAACTACATAAATCATTTTAGGCAAAGGAAAGCCTCTATGTTATGGAAAGAAATGGACTGAATTAGGGGTTGTACTTGTACACAAAACTGAGATGCGATGCAATGCGAATTAATAACGTAGAAAATTACGATACGAATTGCTGCGATGCGATTTCGTGCGACAAGGCGTCTCCCAGGGTGACCATTCCTTCGACGATCGTCAACCGTATTAAACTTATTTTAAATTGAAAACTAGGTCGTGACATCGATCGCAAAAAGAAGTGTGCACTTTTGTTATTGCTTGGGTAGAGGAACAAGAAACAAACAAGATTTTGGGAAGATAAGATTTTGATGCGCGATGCGAGTCAATTCACAAGTTCTTGCGATGCGAAGAGGGAATTCGCATATTTTTGCAATGCGACGTCGCATCGCAGTTTTGTGTATGAGCCCTAAGATGGTCATGCACAAGATTCGGTCATTCAAAAAGTTTCATCGTATTAAAGATATCCCATTCTTACATGACATACATACATGAAGTCTGTACTGAAACCTAAAAAGATTCTAGTAATACTAAAGTAAAATTAAACTCACCTTATACATATCTCTTTTATCATTCTCATCATTGAGTGCCTGCTGACATTGCTGTACCTCATTCACAATGCTGCTCATTAAAGCGTTCAGCTCCGAATGAGTCAATAATAGCTTCCTGAGTTTGATTGGCTGATCAGGCTCTGTCTCACAACAGACTAGTACCGGTGCATCATTGCTTTTTACTAGGGCTGTTATGGATGTGGGGTATAACTGAAAAGAGGAGATTGTTAAGTTATTATCACATTAAATAAATAAACTAGTATCAATATGTCAAATATTTTGTGAATGTAATATGAAAAATCGTTATTGCAGTGGACAATTGTGGTACAAAAATTTATACTTACATCTCCAACAATTTGATTATCCCTGTTGATTGAGATAAACTTAACAACTGCACCCTGTTCTACTGGATCAACTGGAAACGTAATGAATTACCAATTTTATAAACCACCTCAAAATTAGCTACTATTAACAAGGCCTATTAACTATCATCAGTAAATTCTTAACTGAAGAATAAAATTGACATCTAACATTTTTTAGTATCGAAGTCAAATATTCAAAGTTATTCCTCAGTTAAAATTTATTTGGCGTCTAAAATCTAATGTGGAACTTGTTAACTTATTCCTTCAAGATAAGATTACATCAAAAATCTAAGACAACTCAAGACATTTCTTAAAATAAAGATAATGTTTTAACATCCTAGTCTCCTACTTACCTAGAATAATACTGCTGTCTTGTTGTGGCCGATCATTGGCCCCGATCTCAATAGTGATGGGACGAGTGTAGTCTACATCATACAACTGCAACTGAGATGATTCTAAAGCAGTCAGTATCGTCTCCTCACTTATCTGCACTATATTCTCATTTAGGGAGTTTTCGTTACTTTCTTCTGACAATGATTCTCCTTCCTCTGTAAAAAGTAAAGTAAGAATAATCTCACTACAGAAGAGATAATTATATGGGCAATATGTGGAATTAGCAGTAACATTATAAAGTTTTAGGAATTCAATTAATGTTTATTTCGGAATAAACTAACAGTTCTTATAAAAAAGAGTAGGCTAGGCCTCCAAATCCTGTCCAATAGGAAAGGAAATACTGACATATCATGTGACTGCATGTTTTACAAAAAAGATCCTAATCTGAAAAGTGTAAGTTAAACTATCGACAGAGATATATTCTAACTACCATCTACATAACTATAGCATTTAATTGGTAAATATAAGGGTTTATTATTTTTTATTAAAGGTTACTCTATCATAATGTCAGTATCTTGTCTCTTAATGGTACCTATGGGTAATGAAATCAACATGGTACCTCTTTGCTCTGTTTCAACTATGTTGTCTATTATTGGCTGCAACATACATACTAAGGTTCCCAGTCTGTTACCAGCATGTTGCTGGGCACAAATAAATTACTAAGTTCTGAAGTTTTTAACTTACCAGTAATCTCTCTGCGCTTTGACAACAAATGTCGCAGATGTTTACCAATCTTTGAAATTGCTTCTTTAACTCTTTTCTGGTTCATTTCTAGTGCATTTAATTTTTGCGTCAATGCTATGCGTCTATCAGGTACAACAGCCATTAAGTTAAATCTGAAATCAAAATAGGAAAAATTATTAAATACGAAAATTTTTTTTAGACTGCAAAGTTCCTTGAAAGAATCAAGAATTATTTTAACAATATAAAATTAACGATTAATTTAAAAGAATGTCGTCTCACTACAAGCTCTATAAGGGATTAAAATGATTTCTGAACAAGAGTTTAGACCATAGAACAAAAACAAAATACAAGATGTAAAATATACCTTATATCATGAACTTGTTCTCCAGCATCTCTACCGAGTCTCTCAGCCATTACTCTCCTAAACTTATCAGTCCAGTCTTCATCAGCGGCCCATGGTCCATGGTCAGTAGGATATGGTTTCAGGCCATCCAGTTCAAACAAATGTCCATTAATGGGTACAAAACATACGAAATGATATGCTTCACCTGAAAATGTTATGTATTCTTTGTTAATGAAAATCTGTTTTTAAGAGTAACAAAAATGTAAAAAGCTAGAAATTTATTAGTCATAATAACATCCATATATGTATGTATAACCCGTGGTTTTATAACAAGAGATGAGTGGTTCAAAGAATTCTTGTTTTTTTTTTAACAAATTCCATATTTTATTAAAGAAATAAATTTATATATAACATAATTAGTACAAACTAAAATTAAATAATACAAAAAGTGGTCTATTTAGCTTTATTAAGGTTTTCTAATAAGTTACTCATGCAGCTCTACCTGTGAAGCGTCCAGTTGAGACGCCAGCATTCTTATCAGCCTTCTTCCTAGCTTGTGGGATGGCATGGGAGTTGTGAGCACAAGCCAGCTCTGGTGTGTTTCCTATCGCCCAGCCTTTGTTCTCAGGATTCATTCCCAGAGTATGGTGCTAGTTATTCACAAACAAAGATTAAGTCAAATTGCAGTAATAAAAAACCTTTTGTATTGTTTAACAATAGAAAAGGATAATATACCTTTAACCTGCTCAATGTTTCGCCTAAATGGAGATTAGGATAATTCAACAATATAGACAACAACGCGTGAGTGGCACAGCTGTTCGGGACCATTTGTTGTGCAAAAAATATACTGTTTATAGTTTCTTCATCGCGCACGAAACTTTCAATCTGTTCAACGAATTTCCTACGTGAACGTCTCTCTTCAATCCATCGAAATAAAAAGATAAACCCGTAAACTGGACTTTCTAAGGGTTTATGCAGGTCATAAATCTCTTCTACCTGAACCCCTTTTACACCGAAGTCCTCCAACAAAAGAGTAAACAGTCCCGGATCACTTTCCAATTCGAGCCATCCCTCTATTAAACTATTTATTTCCACCGGCATGTTTTTCATATATTAAAACTACTGTTTTTGATGAAACAGTTAAATTAGCGTATTATTTAGATTTTTATATACAAATTGAGAAATCCCAATCACAATGTTTTTGTCACTTAATCTTAATTGTCATTGTTATGTCAGTTATGTCACTGTCAGTGTAACCAATAGTCATTATTATTGTGCAATCTGTATCGCCGTCAAATAGTCTGTGACAAACTAATGGACGGTCAGATAGGCAAACTAAATGAGTATAGTTAACTAAATGTTTAGCGGTAAAAAATCTTTAATTGCAATTTAATAACAGCTCAATATGGTAGACAGTACAATAGCACGAGATTTTAATGAGATTTCAGACCAAGGGCACTTATACCCTGTCCCTCAATAAGCAAATTTATACATCTCTACAGAACGAATTCGAAACATTTACTTCGTCATGAATATATTGTGGTATTTTGAGTTGGAACCTTTACATTTTGAGTTATTGCTAGAATTTTATGTGTTCTAGGTAAAAAAAAACTACTAACGTCCACCCAGTTCCTCAATCAATTTAGGAGGACGTAACAATAGGGCGTGAAAACGCCGCTACTTCTAGATTTTGAGTTACTGCTAGTTTTTTATGTGTACCTACTAGTAAAACAAAACCACTAACGTCCACCCTGTTCCTCAATCAGCATGTATATATTTTTAGGAGGATGTCACAATAGGCCGTTGAGGAGCTGGGACCTCTAGATATCAAGATATTGTTAGATCATTTAAAAAAGGCGTTGTCCCTCCCTTGGATTTATTCTGTGTGTGTTTGTGGATCACAAAAAGAGTTGCTCAGTGCAGGAATCGAACTCATTATACGTTATGCAAAAGCCGGTTGCCCAGCCACAGCGCCTAATGAGTAGTCAAAAAAGGTAGACTAGTATAAAACCAGTCCTAAGCTATCCTGTGCTTGCAAAATATTAGTTTTCATAGTAATATGTTTGAGGTTTTGTAAATAGGACCAATTCATTCACAAAATGGAATGGGCCCATCGAGAGATTGCCCTCAATTTAGCAAAATTTAATTTGTCTCTCGGTTTGATAATACTGAAGCCTTAGTACGAGTTTGTTTTACGTTGAAAGTAATCGAAACCAGTACAATAATGTGGGCCTTCGTTGCCTGATGTAAATGAACAAATAAAAAAAATAAAAGTACACGTTCGGCGCTGTGATTGACCGGCTCCAATGAACCAACCAATCAGAGCGCCGGACTTAGTTTCGTTTCGATTATTTTAAAGTTTAAACGTAAAAGAAACTCGTACTAAACCCTCTGTTTTCAATAAAAATTATGTTAAATTAGTCTTGAGACTTAGTTCCGGACACTACCCATCGGTTAAGTTTGCATACCTTATGAAGAAGAACATTCTCCAAATTGCACAGTCTACAATAAAATTGAGGGTAAGCAATATTTGATGATGGATTGTGTCCGGAATGAACGGGAACGTGAATTACCTACTCATCGGAGAACTAAAAAATAAACTGGATGTAGGCTTACTACAGTCAATTCTATCTATCACCATGTTCAGAAACCACAAACAATTTTGGAAGCAAGTATAACAGCTCACACAAAGGAATAGGACCCACTTAGATTTTAGACAAATTTCCGTGGTGCCTGGGCTTCACCCAGTTGTACACTGTACAGTCTCTTTTTTTGTGCCTTTATGCTTAATTCATTTTGTCTCCTGCAGTAATTCACCGAGGGAAGTGGAAGCTATTGTTTTTTTCTTCTCCTCTTATAATATCTTCTGATTCACTTCGTTGTGGGAACCAAGACAGTTATTCCTGTCCCTGAGATGCGCCGGACTTTAGTGTTCCGGTGTTCTCATGGTTGTATCTACTGTAGATCCTGGCTTTCAGGAGTTGCAGCGGTTTTGGCAGGATGTGGCGGGCTTGTCCCAATTAAAAAAACACACAAAATCTTGTAATTTAATCCTAATAGGTATTTGATGAGTAACTAAATTTCCTTTCTTTTTTTGTAAGTTAATATTATATATAATGATAGATAATATTTTGGTAAAAGGTATGATGGGGTTAACATATGAAAGATAAAAACTCCTAATAAAAAACAAATAAAAAAATTGTCTCTCAAGAGTCAAAAGGGTACAACATTTTAGGAAAGGCTTCTATTCAATTTATGTGCCTCTACACCATGCAATCTATGCATCTACATTATTCGACCCATTTCAGAATTCATAGATGATAGTAGGTACTACTCTTATTAGGTATACCCTACTTTTATTCAGGACTGCAGTTGAATTTTTTTACTTATAAACCGAATATCTGCAAAATACGAACTCGATTCAAGATTTCGTGATCCACAGTTGTGTAAAAACAACAATGAAACGAGCAGCAAGGATGCAAATACATAAATATGAACAATAAAACAATTATTACTTTCAACAACATTTATTTTTGTTTATATACACTCTTATCTTCCGAACTTTGTACAATGTACAAATAATAAATGCACAACTTCAGCATTGTAAAATCCTCATAAAGACTTGCAGGCACGCGCTGTTTGAATCAATTAGTATTAAGCACACGATTTAAGTATTATTTATAACAGTATTGGTCCCATTTTCAATCATTCGAAAGCACACGGCTAGTTATGAACGTCAATGATGATTTTAATTAATGTTTTTTCTTTATTTTCAATTCTAAGTAAGTATTCCTAAAGTTGTTAGGCCACGAGATCCATAGTGAAGAAGATTCTCGATTTAACTAAATCTACGTTCCTAATCGACTATCAACTCGTTAGTACATCCGATAATATTGGTTTCCAACTTGTATTTTGAATGCATTATTAACTTCAAATCAACTGCAATTAACATGCCAAATCGTCAGCAGTAGTTGTAGTTGTAGGTTTACTATAATTTTGACAAGTTTTGCATGTAAATTGGGTGTATTGACTAGCATAATATACCCAGTGTGTAGATTTGAATGCATGTTTTTTTTTTAAATCTGTAAAGCACTTAAAATGAGCGTCATTTTGTTCGAAATATTTAAGTTGTGCAATCAGAATATGTACAAATTACAAATTATTATGCATGACTGGATTATCTAACAGAATATTTAAGTAAATATGATTTAATTTGAAGACTAGAATAGACAAATCGGAACGGGAAACTATAATACCTCTACTAAGATTATAAACTCGAGAGGCAACTAAATAAACGATGATACTAACGGTCATTATCACAACGACAAGCTAACGATGAGTTTCAATTATCAAATCTTCTAATTAATTTTACACAACATTGTTCAGGCAATATGTTCAATGGTAGGATCACATCTGATGATGTACATTCCTTTGCGTTTTACAAGGTGATAGCAGTGTGTCTTACTCCTACAGGCTCGTGAGCAAACTATTAAATAAGAAAACTGCTGGCATAAACACTGATGTGCACACACACCAGTGAGGTGACAAATTCAGAGGACTTTGACTTAATGGCACGGTCACGTAGGACACTACTACTGCATTACACACATATAATTGATATAAACAGATATGTACGGGTGTTTGTTGTCTACCGGCCGACCCGATCTACGGCTGTCGACCGTTGACTTATCCTACTTTATCATTATTTGGAACCACAGTGGTGCTCTGTTTGGAACACAATTTATAAAATAATTATTGGAAGAATTCTTAACTTATCTGCCTAACTATAGGTACATTTTTAACAAAACACTATTTTACAAAATTTCATAATTATGTACAGAGCAGGAAATAAGTAACTAATAATAACTTCCCTATTATCACATAAGTACGCAACGCTCTTACTCGACCACCTACACTAAATTAAAACAATAGTTTCATGTTAGGATATGTACGTACAATATAAATATAATACCGTGACGTTATTGCGATGTCAACAACGTGGACTAATTGCTATATACGAGTCTCATCACATGAAACAGCAGTCGATTTAAAGTAACAAAGTTGTCCAGCCGGGCCTTCATCTGATGGCGTGCGTGGGGTTGTATGGTGGCGGCGGCGTCTTGGGCACCTGCGCCCTGTGGATGGGCGCGATGGCGGTCATCGGGCTGGTGGGTGGCACCGAGTCGTCGGGCTGGCCGGGGATGATGGCCACATCCGTGAGATGTGGCGTCGGCGGCAGCTCGTGTCGAGCGCTGCTCGTCGCGGGCAGAAGGCGCGCGGGGTTCAGCTTGATAGCGTCGTCGTATGTCGGCGGGGCTCCCGCCACCGTGTCGTAGTCTGGAGGCTTCTGCTGCATTGTTTCTTCATCTGGCATCGAAATTACGTGGATGGGATCATCAATCTGAAAGTGATAAACAATGCGATTAGATTATGATTTTGATAAGGGAACCATAGTAAATTAAATTGTGGAAAATTGTTTGCACAATTTTGAACTTCAATTTGTTAAAAAGCGTGAAATTGGTATGTAAGAAGTAAGCCTACCTGGTGTGTGTCAGGTGACGCGCGGTCAGTCTGTGGCTGCCTCGCGGGCGACTGCAGCCAGCAACACATGGCGGCACATATGAGCAGGGCTCCTGCAACGATGCAGGCCACGCCCACGTAGCGCACGGGCTCCGCGTAGTCCTCCGCCAGGCCGAGCCAATTGATTAGCGCGCCGGCGCAGAGCAACACCATGCCATATCTGTATGGCCTCTGTGATTGTCTGCCTTCGTCTAGGGACATGCCTGGAAATGAAAACAATTGATATCATTAGTATTACTACAAGTATAGGTATCGAGTCAATCTAAACTTTCGCTTTTATAACACTTAACGACATAATGGTATCGGTCACAGGAAGGAGGTAGATCCGGAAGCTCGAAACTGTTAACTCATCAAATGGTGGAAAGTAAATACCATGTAGTTTACTGGGGCAATGACACGGCGTAATAACGGGACTCTATATTCACAAACCGGTGATCGAAACGAAAGTTGGGAAAGTTCACAATTAGATGACACGAAACGTGAATTGTTCTATTCAATAAATGTGGGTTGCTCAGTCAGAGACCCGTAATTACGGAAAGGTCATGAAAACAATTGTTTTCCCGTGGTAGCGATGAGGAACATTTCATGAGAGTTAATTTAGAAGTGGTCGAGTGTCGATGATCGAGGTTAGCGCGAAGACAATGGTCTCTCTGGAGAAGTGGGTCAAGTTCGCGACGTGCGGTGGAGTGCGCCGAGCGGTCACGCGGACTGCGGACCAAACAGTCATCAAGAATCAAGATGATACACGGACATACGCTGTCACTACAGTATAGCTTGCTCGTTATAGTGCGAAGTCCATACAGAGGTGGAAAACTGTTGGAAGTTATGTCCAAGGTTCAAATTGTTGCCGATGCCGTGATAAAAATTTAATCAAGTAGCAATTAGTCACATCGATGTTTTCCTCTAGAGTAACTAGTATTGAATTATTTTATTATGGTTACAACAACTAACTTAGGTATTATATTACCGGGTACTAAGGTATCGGACATTGAAAAGAATCTGAAAGTTGAGCGTAGGGCCTTCATTTTTGAGAGTTATGACTTTCGCGAACATGATAATAATGTAGCCATTTGAGAAGTTATTAATCGTGTGTGCTATCATATGCAAGTACTTAATATGCAGTCGTGCAAACAGTAGACGATAAGGCTTTATGTTACTGCGTTCTCAATTATCAATACCGTACCTAGCTACAGGTTATATTTTATTACAAAGACACTTGTCTTACTGTTGGTGAAAAACGACGGAATGCACTCGTTGAATCATTTATTTACATATTTAGTCTCTGAACGTGCGTGATGTAGATAAGTGACAGATAATAAATTTTGCATGGCATTTTCATCAGTCTGGAAAGTACATGAAGATTTTATTTGTGTACAGAATGTAGTACATTCCGCTTTTGACTAGTTATCTTACTATACCCATTTTTACCGTTTATTGCTCAATATGATTACATACGATTGCTATTAATCCTTACTTAAACTGTCAAACACCAAGCGGTCACCGGTGACCGCAACCTATTGTTCTATAATTGTCGCGGAGAACCTAACGGGTAACCGGGGCTCCGGCTCGACGTGCAGGAGAAGGAACGGGGTGGTTTTTAGTCAGTAAGAGTCTGACACTCCCTTCCGCCTCACCCAGTCGGGAGCAGTGATTCGACGATTTTCCTCCCTTAAAAAAAAAATTGTTCTATAATTGTGTCTACAAAACCGGTACTCGACGAGTTAAATGAGTAAATCTAATTACATATATTATTCCGGTCCGAGATTGAATCTGGCGGCTTGCGCTTGGCAGTTGCAGTCGCGATTATTTGATCAAAGTTGCAGTCATAAAATAAATACTACAGTTTTTGAATCAGATCGTCTCGATCAAAATAACAATATTTTATTCCCTGGGGAATCTTTGTAGGCAACAGTGCAGTAAAAAAATAAAAATATTGTACGAAGAAGGCGATTTAGCCAGCAGAATTGGAAACAAAACATTTAAGCATCACTCAAAAAAATGTAATTATCACTCCGGTGTCTAAGATACATGCTATCTTGGGATCTGATATTCATTTCAATGTCCTATGGATCTATCTATAGTATAACAAAGGGAAGGAAACAATTCTTATACTTGTAAGAAAGTTATCTACTTACAAATAACCGGTCCTCTCGCTCTTAAATCATTTTCGTAGGGGCCATACGGATAGATTGTGCCTAACGCCATATTTTCGAATTCAATTCACTGATCACCATCGACATTAAAAACTCCAGTGACATTCAAACAGGGCAATATGGCGGCCTGTCAAGTACGATGTCACAATTATTTTTAAAGTTACAGGTATTATTTGATCTAGAATATGCAAATGTTCACTTCCTCTCAATTATCAGTCACTACTGAAGGAAGAATTGAACAAGAGCAACGCACTATCTTATCGGTTATTTGATACCCAGACGGATTTGATTGTAGGTCAACATCTTGACAACTACGTAAGTACTTAAGTACATCTCGGCAAATATTTTGCAATGTCCCTTTTGTAGGATTGTGGGTAAACGTAATATTAGTGTTTTACTATTAGCAACTCGGTCACATCTTATCAAAGATATCACAGAAATGAGGAATGTTTCGAGACATCGTTCATATCTGGTGTTTCTCGATGTGAAATGCAGAGGTTAAATTCCAGTACACTTTTTGGAAATATTATAGGACTTACTTTAATTAATATAAAAACTTTTTAAAATCACGGATTATTTGCGGCTACAGGATAAATAAAGCTGTTTTCTGTGATCCGCGCCTGCGGTTGAATTTCAATCATTGTGGGCCAGACGGTCTCATTTAACGCAGTCATGCGCAACATAATTTCTACCAACGACATCATAGTGAGGTGAGATCAACCCTGTCCCAATAACGTTGATAGGTTTCCGATTATGATAATTCTTGGCAGATTTAAAGTTTTGGGCCGGCTGCAGGCTGGTAACACTTGTAAGCGGTCTTTTCGCCCACTCGTTCGAGTACGGCTTCGACGTCGCGGCCACCTCGGTTTCGTTAAAGCGATAATATTCGTTAAATGGATTAAACCTACACATTTGTTGAATAACGATATTCTTTCAACTGTTATTGTGTTATTAAAGAAATGATATAAGCATTATTTTTACTTTTATCGAAGTAAATAACATGTTTGTATTACAGTTTATCTGTTATTGTAAAAAACCAAGTTCCATCCATTATCAGAGGGAGTATTAGAATTTTTTTGTTTGTTGGATGCATAGCATAAATCATTGTCAGTCCGTAGTTATCTTATCACTGGTATTTTGTTGGTATGTTCCTTGAATGCAGGGACGAAATGTTAGACTAACTGGCGGTGACATTAAGTGGTCAATACGAAACATGCATGCATTAATGCTTCTAATATTTACAATGGCATATTATGAAGCAATCTTTTCCACCCGAAGGCTTTAACTGAGGTGATTGTAATAAGTTTTCAGTATAGGTAATTCTACAAAAACTATGAAATCATTAAGAATAAATATATACGCATAAGGTAAATAGGTAATTCTACAAAAACTATGAAATCGTTAAGAATAAATTAACAAACTTTGAGGCTCCTTTTCTTATTAAAATCGGTAATAACAGGCGTGGTAATGTTATTTTGACCTCGATTCTGTTAATTTGTTTTATTGATTCCTAATGTCATCACAATTTGATTAATGACTTACAGGTGACCAATAAACAAAATTAAATTAGATATATTTATTGTCTTCAATTATCATATATATATATTTCAAAATAGGAATTCTCAAAAGCCTTTGTCTTGTATACAATCTTAATTCTGGAGAAATGTTTGTCATGGATTTTAAGAAATAAAAATATTGTATTGATCTATCTATATTGTACTGTATTTGTATTGTATTTATTTCAAAAAATCTATTCGTATATGGAATTATGTATCTAGTGGTTCTTGACCGATTCCCCGACCTCAATAAAAATGGAGCGACAAAATACTAGCACTACTATTCGCACATTTCTTCTTCAAGAACTGGATAGCGGTAGGTAGGTACTTATGTGTTAACAAAAACATTTCTTTGTTCCATCTTTAATTCAACAAATTATCTCCGCCATTGCATAACGGATACCTGTCAATCAAGATAATTAATTCGTGCAAAAAATAATGACAAGACTTGTTCAGGGAAGACGTTAGTTTGCGAATAACTTAGCAGTCGAAGCAAGAAGTTAAGTATAGGTATTGATTATGCAAAGGAAGGTTATCTAGCTGATTATGATTTTTTCTTTCCCACGACCACTCAATGATGTGACATAGTTATCGACCATTGCACAGTTTCGCGAATGCCTTGTCATCTATTTAGAAATGAACTTTGAATTATTTACACGCAAACATATGACAGGTTTCTTGAAAATTAAGAAGGATAAGTCTGTTTTTTGTATGCCTAGATTACCTAGTACCTAGTTTTTAAGTTTAATATTTATGTAGTACACCTATTGCAGACAAAGAAAACACATCACTTTAGACTTTTTTTTGAGTGGGGAAAATCAGCCAATGACTTTTTCTACCCGAGTGAGGCGAGAGGGAGTGTCAGACTCTTACTGACTACAAACCACCCTGTATCAACTTCTGCACTTCGAGCCGGAGGACCGGGAACCCGTTCAGTTCTTTAGGCTACTTTAGAGTCTATATTTTTTGTATTTACGTCGGTAAGTATCAGTTTACAGTTTAGTTTTTACTGATGCAAGTAAAAAAACATACGTATTTTTAGCTAATGTCCTTCAGACGATGTCTGTCGAGACGGACAAGTAGAGGACCTTGTTTGGGGATAACACGTTTCCTTTTACAAGAAGTCTACCTACAATAGCATAAGCGGAATGTACTTTAAATATAAACAGGATTTTGTACAAAACGCAAGCCAGTATATAACAACCTAAGTACGTATCAAATCTAGAAAAAAATGCTCAGTGGACACGGTAACGATTTTATATAGGTATTAGTCATTTTTAATACGCTGATACCTACGTAATATAGATTTATATTATGCAATATCTACAAATGAACTTAGACACATTGTAAAAATAACTGACGAATATAAAAAATATAATAGGTACATTTAGTGACATTTCCACGGTCACACAACTGTATTAGGATTACAGAACTACTTTCTCAATGCCAAAAATATTTTATTATTATTAAGAGATTTCTCGTTTACCGAAACGA